CAATAGTGTAAAAGTGTTCCTATTTCTCCACATCATCTCCAGCATCTGTTGTCTCCAGATTTTTTAAAGATCGCCATTTGAACTGGTGTGAGATGGTATCTCAATGTAGTTTTGATTTGCATTTCTCTAATGACCAGTGATATGAGAAGACATCTTTATACTAAGTATATTTATAGCAAATATTTGAAACAATGCTTGCTCAATATTTTGGACATATTTGAGGCTAACTGGGATATTATCTATGATGGGCACTATTAGATAATAATCATAAAAATATTTTTAATAATAATGTATATTCACAAATTATGAAGGTGTTCTTCACATCTAATGAGTAGCTTTTTAAATAATAGACTTTAGCTTGATTCCATGTCTTTGCTATTGTGAATAGTATTGCAATGAATACACGTGTGCATGTGTCTTTATATTAGAATGATCGCTATTCCTTTGAGTATAGACTCAGTAATAGGATTGTGGGGTCAAATGTTATTTGTGGTCATATACTCCATGGAATACTATGCAGTCATAAAAAAGAACAAGATGTGTCCTTTACTGGGACATAAATGGAGGTGGAGGACATTATCCTTAGCAAACTAATGCAGGAACAAAAATTCAAATACCGAATGTTCTCACTTAGAAGTGGGAGCTAAATGATGAGAACACATGAACAAGCAGAAGTGAAAAATACACACTGTGGTCTTTTGGAGGATGGAAGGTGGGAGGAGGGAGAGGATCAGTAGGAATAACTAACAGGTACTAGGCTTAATACCTGGATGATGAAATAATCTATACAACAAACCCCTATGACACAAGTTTACCTTTGTAACAAAGCTGTACTTGTACTCCTGAATTTAAAATAAAAGTTAAAAATAAAATAAAATGAATAAATACAAAAATAAACAGTAAATAAAAATAGAGCTTATTTTTAAAACACTTTAAAGGTTAGGGGAAAGGTGAAATGGTAATACAAAAAGTTCTATGTACCCTTTCATCCAATTCCCCTATTATTACTGTCTTACATGACTATGGTGCATTTGTTATAATGAATGAGCCAATATTGGTGCATTAGCATTAACTAAAGTCTATAGTTTATGTCATTTTTATTGAAACATATCAAGGGTATAGACTATTGATGACCTTGATTTGAAGTTGAATTCACCAAATTTCTCCAATATAAAGTTAACTCTCTCCTCTACCTTTTCATACTGTAGTCTTTGGACGAGAGTACTATCAAAGTGCATACTTAAAGAGTGGAATATTTTCTTTCTTCTTATTGAGATAAGGATATCTACATCAGCTGTTTGGAATTCTTGTACATGGGATATTTGTCTCCTCATCCTAATTTATGTACATATTTAATAAGAAAAATTGAATATAAAGCTTGCAATACACATTTTAAAAGTAGAATAAAAAATAGAATTAATAAAACCAAAAGTTAGTTCTTTAAAAATAGTCAATAAAATTGAAAAAGTCAATAAAATTGCGAAAAAAAAAAAAAAAGCTATACTGGAAGGAGACTCAATCACTAAACTCAGACATGAAAGTGACACTATGTCCAACCTTAAACAAATAGAAACAATTATTAGAAGAAACTATGCAAATTGTATATCACAAACTAGACATCCATGATGAAATGGACAAATTCCTAGAAACACACATTACAAAATCGACAGGAAGAAATAGAAAATCTGAGTAGACATTTAACAAATAAAAAGACTGAATGTGTAATTAAAAACAAAACAAAACAAAACTTTCCTAGTAAGAAAATCTCACAACCAGATGGTTTCAACGGCGAATTCTATAAAATATTTAAAGAAGAACTAATGCCAATCTGTTTACAATCTCTTCCAATAATTAGATCGTGCTGAAATCCTTTCTAAATCATTCTATGAGATCAGAATTATGCTGGTACCAAAGACAGAGAAAGACATCGCAAGAAATGAAAACTATAGGCTAATATCCTTTGTAACTATTGACACAAAAATTATTGGCAAGTAGTATCAAACAGAATTTAGCAGCATATTAAAAGGACAACTCATTATGACCAAGTGGGATTTATCCTAAGAATGTAAGAGTTGTTTAACATTAAAACACACACAC